CAAAAATCTCTGAAAATTAAACTGATTGGACTGATTAAACACCACAAATCATTCTGTCCCTCAATTTGCTATTTTCGATCAGACCGTGGTTTATGCAGAGTCACTATAAAACGCAATTTCATGGTCATGCACCATTAACATTCAACACACAACGGATGATTTGATTTCAGGTATAACTGAAAAACCGCCTTTAAATATAAGCATTTTCGACACATCGATCGGTGGCCAAACTTTAAATTACAGTGTCGTCGAATCACCTTAAATATACAACGTATCACAAAAAGAACATGAAACCAAAATTCTTGAGTATCTGCTCGATGCCCGATGGGTTTTTCTTTCTTCGCGAACGATGTTGTTAATTCGTGCATGGACACTCGGCCTCCGCCCAATGCCACCACTTGGAACATCCTCAAAAACCCTCTTTACGCAATTTACCGGGGGGTCTGTCCGGTGGCAACCACGCTGGATCCATGAATTAAACATGGGGCAATCTCGAGTGATTGCGTGAATTTATTATGCTCTCCGTGGAGGGGGCGCGGGGCACCCATATTCCATATTTACGGACCAAAGAGACAGAGACGACTGGACTGGAGCTGGGTAAACACGGAGATTATTCTGATTATTTACACAAGGGACACACGCGCGCGAGACATGGGACATGCGCGGCTGGACGCGCGTGACCAGCGGCCAGCAGCGGTGGCAGCGGCGGCCACTTCAATCAGTATTCCCGATGTCCAGTGTGGTCAGCACTCTTCCTCTCTGCTCCTCCTTGCCAGATGGGCTGCATCGCTCACCCAATGCCGCACGGTGGATTGAGTGAATGGAGGGTGGAGATGGTGTTTGTGTAAGGAATTTGTGATTTGACTGTTGATTCTCATGCAAAAGTTCACAAGAAACACGATGGTGCCTCTGGTTTTCTCTAAAATTAACTCCCAAGCTCAAAAAAAGCTCTCAAATTGAGGCCAAAATGGAGGGGATATCCCACGCTATCCTGAGAGTCTACCTACATTGACATGTATTTGCTCCCTATATCTATGCATGGAGAGTTAGTTTCAATGTAGAGGTGGACTCTCAGGATAGCGTGGGATATCCCCTCCATTTTGGCCTCAACTTGAGAGCTTTTTTTGAGCTTGGGAGTTGATTTCAGAGAAAACCAGTGGCACCATCGTGTTTCTAGCGAACTTTTACAAGCGAATCAACAGTCAAATCGCAAATTCCTCACACATGCAACATCTCCATTGCTCTCGATATTAATGCACTTTTACTTTTCAACACCCTGAACAATTTTGAGCCACTGGAGATAGGACGCCATCCGCTAAAATTTAATGAGAGTACCAAGAAGACATCGCATGCACTTAAGTTGAGAATCTACCCATCTATAAAAGAAATTTGATCATCCCTACGAATTGATTTTTGGTATGATTTCTCTCCAATGTCGGTGATTGGATTTGATTTTCCGCGATCCTGTGTAAGTGTCCAGAGAAAACCAGTTACCTATATTGTATATCCCCGCAGATATGTACCCCCTCTTAGCGCACGGTTTGTTCTCCGCTAATGAAATGTATTGAAAATCAATAAATCATACTAATGTCGAAGTTTATTTTCCTCCTTCAGCCGCTTTGCCATTCATGAATGTGCAGGCGTTTTTTCTGGCACCGAGTTCTCCTCCGCCCTCGGCTCTACGCATCACGACTGTTGACGTTGTGCTTTTAAACCTGAAAAACTACATACCTCCCGCAAAAAAACTGGGCAGATCTGCGGTTCTTGCCGATTTTATCAGAAATCGTGCGTTTGGTTGTTGACCATCGCTCGAGAGCTGATTGGGACCGAAGGTATGCAAATATTGTCGTTTTCCTGGCGGAAGGGCGTAAACACAGATCTGCGCGAATCCTGACGCGCATATAGACTATCCTGTCCAAACGTGACGTTACTATAATCTATGGGGCAGGTATTATTCAATAGATTAATTAATTCTCATTCCGATGGATAAAGTTGAAAAATGTTCCGACGTTCCTACTCTTTAGTCGGTTCAATTTTTTTTAAAAAGAAAACTAATCAACATTATTTTCTCGAAATTTTCTGTAATTTTTCGTAATTGGACGTATCTCTATCAAACAGAACTAAGCGCCATTTTGAGTTCCTTTTGAGGAATTTAGAATGCCGGATAGCGCGTTCTGTCAAACGGACCTAAGCGCCATGGAAAAGCATTGCGAGTATAGGACGGAATAAGCCGGGCGCCCGATTCCGCCGCCAATCCAAGCCCCCCTCTACCTTCCTCACCCTATGGCGCTTAGGTCCGTTTGATAGAAATACGTCCAATTTATGTAAAAAAAAAATTCTACGAAATTCTAGAGGAAAATTTTTAGTTCGGTTTCTTTCAGGAAGTATAACTATAAAAGGAGAGTTTCAAACGTTGTGATGAAGGAATGCATGTTTCGTCAACGTACAGTAACTCGGATCACCGCGTTAGTTATTGGAAGCAAGTCGGCACAGCTGCGATCATTTTCAGCGGCAACCTACTTGGAATCGGTATCAGAACAGGACGGCTGAATATCAAACTTTCCCGAAACACCTTCGAACTTACGAAGTTTAAAATCCTGTGACTTTAGTTGTTGCAGGAATTTGCCTAGTGAGTTGGTGCGTTAAGTTCGCCTTCAATTTTGAGTGATACTGTGCCACGCTCGAGTGGTCGAATAGTTGCGCCCCGCTTTCGTTCGCTGATTGTAGGTTGCGCTCACTTTTATTGTGATTCCTTAAAAACCAGCAACTTTAGCCGTTGCAGGAATTTGCTTATTGGGTTGGTGCGTTAAGTTCGCCTTCAAATTCGAGTGATACTGTGCCACGCTCGGGTGGTCGAATAGTTGCATCGCGCTTTCGTACGCTAAGTGTGGGCTACGCTCATTTTTATCGTTATTCCTTGAACGCCTCAAACGAACGGAAATAAAGGAAACAAAGTTTTGGAGGTGCACTTTCAGATTCACGTAGTTCTAACTTTGAATATCCTAATTTTTAATTTTGTGCAAATATCATAGCATTTTGACTTGACGTCGACGAGGAAATATATACAGGGAAATCCACCATATGATTACGCAGCGGTTAGTAAATGTATCGAATGGTGTTTATTGAAAAGTAAAACTCATTAAAAAGAACCATTCAATTCAGGATCATTGTAGTAATAAAGTTGCAGAGTATTGAAATATGAGATTACTAACATAACATTCTTGTATTTCGTGAGTCAATAACATCAAAGCAACCTGACCCGAAAACAGCCATATAGGTCTAAACGAATTGGTCGATCCTTGTACTTACCACAGAAGATACCGGGAGATATCAATACACCGAACAATTAATTACCGTACCTCGGGCCGTAATTACGGTCCTAATTACAGGGTTTATTGGGTTACGAGTTCAAATTTTTTATCGCCGTGTTTCTTATTTTTTATTGTCCTTTTACGCAAGGCGAGCTCATTAGACCACGTCGCCAGATCAAAAGAATGTCGGAGGATTTTCCAGGGTGAACCCAATTCGCTTCGAAGTCGGGCTTTGGTTTAAAATTTGGCGACCCTCGCGTTCTAGACAGGATGAGGGCAACTTGATAAAAGTTATCGGTATCATACACGCAATACGTTCAGAATGAAGCATCATGAAATGAGTCCGTTGCACGAGTGCGCTTTGTTTATTTACGTTTTGTTGTGCTTAAAACAGAGCTTTCGCTGTTTTGCACGTTTCAATTTTCATTCCTCTCCTCAAAAGAGGTGACCGAGCGGAGGACTCCGACATTTTACTCTTTTTCTGCTGGCAGTAGAATATCGCAATTGCGGGAGGACAGACGTACCGCTCGACACTGCAGAGCAGCATTCCGCATTAAAAATTGGTATTTAAGAGTTTTCAAATACCTCACGTATCTGCGTACATACGTGTCTGAAGAAAAAAATCGCAATCACTGGTATCGTCATGTTCCAGTGTTCTCTGTCTTGAAACCGAATTCATTGAAACTTGAAGGACCGAGGCAAATCCCTCGATATTTTCGTTAAAGTTCATTTTATTTGACCGTGATAGTTTTCTTTCACTTTAAAGATATAGAGAGGTCGCGTCTATCTCTATGTCTCGTGTTATTTTTTTATTGAAGAAATTGTATAGTACGAGGGAAAAGTTCAGTGAAAAACGTAATAAAATGAGTGAAAGGGTGGTAATAATAGCTCCTTTTTTGGGATGTTTTAGACCAAAAAATTATTCTGGGTCTGAGATCGGAGCTCCGGCTCACAGTGGATCGAGTCAATCAGGGAGGTCGGACATGAAATTTTTAACCAAAATTAGAAATTTTGAACCAAAATTAGAAATTTTGATTCCCAATTCGTCACATTTTAAATTTTAGGGGGTGCTTCCAGCAGAAAATTTTACGAGGGAACCAATGGAACCACTTTAAAACTCAAAGTCTCGTAAACAGAGTTATGAGCTTTTAAAGTTTCCAAATTTTGTACGACCTCTCCCATTAACTCAATCCAGTATGCGGCTTCCAAATCCAGAGGTTATGACCTCTGAATCCGAAGTTTTCATTTACTGTGAGCCCAAAATGTGATCGGCATGGCTGACTTTGTAATGTGTAGTGTGCATAAAAAGGAAGTGCATAAATATTGTAACCAGCGATTAAACCTTCACTTGTCCCACTTTTTACTTAGACATCTTTGAAGAACTCCTTTGTGTGTTAAAAAAGAATGTGATATTTGGTCAGCGAAGAGGGGTCTTGAAAATGAGAATTCTCGCACTGCAATGGGAATCGCAAGTTTTTCGCGAAAGTACAGCATTTTTTTTGTTTTTTTAAATCAAAACCAATTCTTGAATAAAATCATTACTCCAAATATTTTTTGAGAAATAATAGACTGCCACTTTGAAAGATATGAAGGCTAAGATCTGTCTGCATTCCTGTTATTATTGTTCCAATTGTTTGCAAAAATGCATTGTACAGTCCACCACTCTAACCTCTTCTTTTTCTGTTTCAGATGGTCGTCCCTCGCTGCCTTTGATAAGATTCGCGCTCTACCCTCTGCAGAGTTGCATCCTCTTCGAGAACTCTGCTTCTCTGAGCCTTCCATCTCTCGCCATCGAGCCAACAAGCTTTTTAAAATGCTCTCCAGAGTCAAGCTGAAATCCAGCTCCGCCTAGCTGGCTTCATTCCGCGTCCTCTCCAAAAATGGCTGTGATATCTAATACACGATACTGGTGAATCAGCATTTATTGTTTGCACTCGAGACGTGAACTTGAGTCAAATTGTCGGAAAGTTTTTGCGAGTATGCTGAAAGATTGTCCTGTTTGAAGGATACAAATATTGTAACGTGGATTGTTGTTAACGGGTAATCGTGTCAAAATTTTACGCTCAATTCACACTGTCTAATCCACCCCGGTGTAATTCAACTGCAATCAAATTGTCCAACAGCAAATTTTTGGAATTCTTCCGTCCTAACTGACGCCCGGTAACGTGATTAAATGTCAGCGCAATTTGGTTAACGCAATCGTCCAACGAAAATCCTTGCTCAAATCAACTGTTCACACTGTTGCTATTCGGTCAAATTCTCTCCTGAAATAGCATTTTGATCAACCGTACCATTTTAAGCTTTAAGCCATTTTAAGCTTAGAAGTTCACGTTGTACTCAACTTTCTTAACTTACGTACCTCTTAATTACCAAGTTCCTTTACGTTAGCGATAATTTTCGCGCGTTTGTGTATCCCTCCGTAACTCGCGTTCCTTCCGGCACCCTGTGTAATTTTAGTGCACTGCGTGTATTTCGCGTGTAATCCTAGTGTAAGTTTAGTTTTTACTCCGATTCTAGTCTTTTCTCAGTCAGGCCCCACGATGTTGTTCTCGAGTCTGGCCGTGTGCAGTTTTTGCGCGGTGGCGTGCGTTTTTCTGTTGAGCGTGTTGCGGACGGACGCCGCGCGGGGGGTTCCGGTGCCGCATCTAGAAGATGTGTTGTCGATGCAGGACCCGAGCGCACCAGAGGGCCGGCGCACAAACCCGAAGACGCAATCCTTTGGCCCTTCCGGACGCGTTCGGAAGCCCAACATCATTCTCTTCCTCACCGATGACCAGGACGTCGAGTTGGGTAAGTCTCCAAGAGCAAAGGCATACATTAAATAGTCTAACTCTGCCGTGCTAAGGAAAAACGCCGAATGAACATTCGAAAGTTGCGAAATTTCCCTCAATAAAATGTTCATTATTAAGGAAAGTTATACATATTTTTCCTTGAAATTCTCAGGAAATTTAGGTGGATTTGCGAACAAAAGTATCTGAAAAATTGGAAGGAAAATATTCATATGTTTACCAGGAAATTCGTGTTTTATCAAAGGAAATTTGGCAACGCCTAAAGGTTTATACGGCGTTTTTCCTGAGCACGACAGAACTGCTCTAGTAGTTTCAAGTAACAGTCGATAACGACATTTTTTTCGCTTTGAAAGGTACAACCAAGTACTTAGTTTTTAGATTTTTAAAGTTTTTACTGTTCTTATCCAACTGACGAAGGCTGACTTTTCAGCCGAAAAGTTTTGGTGGTTTTTATGTGAAAGTTAGCCTTGTTACCCGCTGTTTAAATTGTTATTATTGTAGTCAAAAGTAACATCGTCCGATTATTGACAGGGCATTCTTTTCGATGTAGTGCAAGGAAATGCCAGAGGAAAAAGTTAGATCCACCCCAAATAAAATATAAAATTATATAGTTAAAATATAATTAAACTCAAGTATAAACTCAAGCTGAGAATTTGACCTATCACTAGAGAAACCTATCACCTATCAAAGAAGACAAAAGGGATATATGGAGGGATCCTATTGGCGAAAGCGGGTAGTCGCAATGGACAAAAGAGGTAGGTAATACGAGTAGACTAACTAACGGCAACCCACGAGAAACCCAATGGTTAGTCTATCATTAACCCCAGGGTCGGATTAAGGGGGTGGCCACATGGGCTGGGGCCCATGGCGGCAAATCTAGGGGCGGCAAATTTTGCAATTTTTTTAAATGTAGGTATAAAAAAAATCGGATTCAGAAAAAAAATTACAAACGAAAAAAGGTGACAAAATCTCTCATTTCCTGAGAGTATAGTAATTTCTAATTTTGTCGTCTTTCAGTGATACAAGTGACAGCACCTTTAATTAGTCGAGTTAAGAGAGAAACCAAACACGCAATTTGGCCTGGAACGGCGCGACTTGGTGAGAAATGATGACGAGGACTTGAGATGAAAAGGAGAAGCCTCGGCGGGGCGATCGATCGGCATGTAACACATATCAGCGCCTACAAGATTGCACGAACACTTCACGCATTGCATCAAACACAGTGCGGTCATTGCATTGCGGTCAGCATGAAACGGATAGTGCCTACAAGAATGCATGAATACTTCACGCATTGCGCCAAACACAATGCGGTCAGCGTGAAACGCATGGCGCCTACAAGACTGCGTGAATACTTCACGCATTGCGCCAAACACGGTGCGGTCTGCGCGGCGCGGCGGCGGAAGTTAAAATCATTAAACCACATTTATGTTTGTTCTTTCATAATTTTTTCGTTCATTCCTTATGAATGGAAGGCCTTGTCCACAAAGAGATATGTTTACGAAACTTAAATTTCCCGCAAAGTTCCGCGAACTTTTGCTAGTAGTGTTGACAGGGCCTTCCCAAAAAATGTGTCCAACACGAGTAAACGCGTCTTATGCACCCGTCCCCCGCTGGCACGTTCAAATAATGGTTTTCATTGATGTTTCAAAACAAATGAGCAGGGGGCGGCAAAATACAGGCGGCCCATGGGCGGCAAGTAGGTAAATCCGGTCCTGATTAACCCCCTTAGTCTATAAGAGCCACCCATTTCAACAAATAGGACCGCTCCATACTCCCTGTGTCTTCTTGGTCTATAGCTTTGTCTATCAGTTTCAACAATCAGCCCGCAGGCTTTGTGAAAAATACCCTTTTTTTGTTTGATGTGTAAGCTTGCCGTAGGTGGAAGTGGGTAAAATAAGTGATGATTACGGTGTTGCAGGCTCGCTGAACTACATGCCGAAGACGCTGAAAGTGATGCGGGACGCAGGGGCGGAGCTGCGGCACGCGTACGCGACGACTCCGATGTGCTGCCCCTCGCGGAGCTCCATGCTGACCGGCATGTACATGCACAACCACAACGTCTTCACCAACAACGACAACTGCTCCAGCCCCCTCTGGCAGCGGACCCACGAGACCCGCTCCTTCGCCACCTACCTCTCCAACGCCGGATACCGCACAGGTAACGCCCAACGCCACTCACCTCTTTTCCAGGAGATTCTTGTGCATGTGAGGGTGACTGCAGGAGTGCAGGGTTTAGCGGGTAGGAACCGTTGGAAAACTAATTTGTGCTGAAATCGGGCTTGTGGACCCGACACCCACCCCATCCTCCTCTCATAATCTGGCATACGCCTCACAAGCCTCATCCCCAGTTTGAGCGACCCCCAACTTGTCGAATGAAGACGCACGAGAAATTTGGAGAAAAAGGTCGAGAAGGAGATGAGCAGAAGGAAAGAGAGAAGGAAGAGAAAAAAGAGAAAAAAGAGAAAAGGAAAGATTTCCTTTCGCTGTCTTATTTGTCTCTTTTTTCCATTTTTCTTCCACTTGTTTCTTCTCTTCCTCATCTTTTCCTCTTTTCCATTCTTCCTCGTCTTTTCCTCATCTTTTCCCTTCACCATCGTCTTTGATTTCCTCTGTTTCAATTTATCTTCTTCGTTTTACCCCTTTAATTATCTCGTCTCTCATTTTCCGACTAGGGTTAAAAAATTATGCCACTCTGCACTTAGCCTCTCTCACCTCAAAACTAGAAAACGTCCCGTAAAAGTCATATAATGTGACTAATCACTTAGGGTTAGAAAGAGCAGTGCTTCAGAAAAAATGTAGAGGGGAGGGGGGTAGCTCCTTCATTCGATCTGCTTCTGAAAAATATTTGGCTACATCGAACTGATTGTCAGCGCAGATTGAATTTTCCTTCCCATAACACCGATGTTAAGTGACGGAACTTGAAATTCTTTTGACGATCGTCTGCGATTAAGTCTGATCGCTCCCCGGGACTATTTCAGCGAAATGATTCCACTCCTCCTCGTTGGTTCTTTTCAAGTTCCGCTCAGATTTCTCCAGCTGACATCTAAACACAGTTTTACATCATGCTGTCCCGACAATGAAACCAGCCGTACGAACGTCCCAAAACGTTGACGTCATGAATCGCAATACTTAGAACTATCGTCATTGAAATCGTCTGTCGGCAATTAGTCATGGCGGAACGCTGAAATCACATCGATACAGCTGTTAGTCAGTTCCCATCCCGGTCTTGTCTCCTCCGATTGGACTGCATTCTATAATTAAGAACCACAACTTCTAGCCCACCCGTAAAAACACTCATGTGCATACGGGAACTAACGGTGTGCATGTCGTTTCTAAACTGTTAATGAGCCAGATATTGTAGTTCAAAATTGCAAAATGCAATCCAATTATCTTGCTCGGGTGGTTACTTTTATTCCTAGTTGAGAACAGTCTGGTCAGAGATGTCAGTCTCTTCTTTTTGTTGACCATTAGAAGCTCATCGATTGCACTCAAATATTGTCAATGGAGAAATAAAAATCGCAGTTTTACACGTAGGTTGGTCCAGGTTGGTCCAAACCATATATGTGGTTTCAATGGTGATGAACATTTGGCCACAGGGTCATTACGAAAACGAATGTCGTTCATTAATTCAATATGATCTCACATATGTTCTTCTCTCTCTTTCCCATTATGTCAATGAGCGACATCCGTTTTCGTAATTATTTATATTTTGCAATATGCCCTCATAAAGATGTCATAATTTATGTTTCTGTATGCACGTTATGGATCAGTCTTACATAAAGTAGATTACGATGATTATTGCTTCTCAAAGACTTGGGCTGTGTAGCCGTGCAACGCAGTAGATCACCCCCCCCCCCTTGTGATCCCTGTGGATCACCTAGATCTACCTCGTGTTTAAAAAAAGAAGGAAAATATGTCAGAATTGTCAGATGTATGATTTTGATGTGTGTGTGTAAGCGTGCGGCCACCGGGAGATCAAGCTGATCGATTGGGTTACCTACCTGTCGGCGAGTTGGCGGTGGCGCACAGTGGATCGAGTCAATTAGGGAAGTCGAACATGAAATTTCTTACTGAAACTGCTAATTATTATGTTTATTTCGTCATATTTCAAACTTTGAGGGGTGCTTCTTGAAGAAAATTTTACGAGGAAATCAATGGCACCACTTTAAGGATCTCCAAGTATAAACTGACTTATAAGCGTATGAAGTTTCCAAATTTTGTCCGACTTCTCTGATCGACTCGGTCCAGGGTGCGGCGGTGGCTCGCGCTGTCACCCGATCTTAACCGCGGCGAAATGCAATGTTGCAGGGTACTTCGGGAAATACCTGAACAAGTACAACGGAAGCTACATTCCTCCCGGGTGGCGGGAGTGGGGCGGCCTGGTCATGAACTCCCGCTACTACAATTACACCGTCAACCTCAACGGGAAAAAAATCAAGCACGGCGACGACTATCAAAAGGTAGGTCCTCTCTCCCCATACATGCCGCTTCTCCTCACATTTATCGCATTTCGTCACCCTCCGGCTCAGTGGCGTGGCGTGCTTTGCGATATATCGATTGATCCACCATTTGAACCTATGTCAAATGATCGATTATTAGAGTGTTTGCAGCGAACACCCGAATAATCGATTCTTTACCACAACTCAAATGAAGAAATATCGATAATCGATCATTCACGCCTCGCCACTGCTCCAGCCAAAGTATCACAAGCGCCATGCGACGTCTAAACAAGCTCCATTTTATGACCCGAACTCAAAATTACCACGTGTCCGCATTCTCCCCATCTAGGTACTATCTAAGTACTAGGTACGAGGTAGGAGGATAAATGGAAAATTTTAAGTAGAGTTATGGCGTTTTTAGGGAGGACGACAGTAGGTACAACACAAGGGCCTTTTAGAAACCCGAAATCGTCACCTTCCGGTCAAAGTATCACAAGCGCCATGCAACGTTTAACAATTTCCGCCGCCATTTTATTTTTTTACAGAGAAATTGTTGGTTGAATCTATTTGAAAATTTCACTGAATTCTATCACAAAGAAAGCAGTACAAAGAAAATTCAGTTAAATTTTCGGACAGCTTCGTTGAAAAATTTCTCTGTAAAAAAATAAAAGGGCGACGGGGATTTTTAAACATTGCATGGCGCTTGTGATACTTTGACCGGAAGGTGATATTTTCGGGTGTCTGAAAGGCTCTTGTGTTGTGTTGTACCTACTGTCGTCCTCAGTAAAAACGCCGTAACTCCACTTAAAATTTTTCATCTAGAGAAATTTTTCAACGAAGCTGTCGAGAAATGTCACTGAATTTTCTTTGTGCTGCTTTCTTTGTGGCATAGAATTCAGGGAACTTATCAAGTAGATTCAACCAAAAATTTCTCTGCAAAAAAGTAAAATGGCGGCGGAAATTTTTAAATAATGCATGGCGCTTGTGATACTTTGGCCGGAAGGTGACATATTCGGATGTCTGAAAGGCCCCTGTGTTGTACCTACTGTCATCCTCAGTGAAGACGCCGTAACTCCCCTTTAAATTTTTCATCCATCCTCCAATGGAGTACCTATATGGGGAGAGTACAGTTATGTCTGTAATTTTGAGTTCAGGTCATGGAATGGAGCTTACAGGGCCCAAAAGGGCAGCCAACCTGTTTAATCAAAGTATCCAGAATTATTTATTATTACAATCGTTACAACCCGTACTTGTAAAGCACGTATTTGAATTAGTTTTCGTATAAATTTATCTATATTTGACCCTCTTGGTTTGATATTGGAATCTGGAGATTGACAGCGGTATTTTTCTTGTGTTTTCGTGTTAGAAGATTGGCTGCCCTTTTGGGCCCCAAGAGCTCCATATTTTGACATGTTTGTTCTAGGTACTCCAAGAATCCTGATTAACAACATTATGTTTCAAATTTTAACGATAGTCCATTAGGATGAACAGAAACTTGTTTCAATTTCATTCATTTTATATGTGCCTGATACAAGAACTTCCGTACAAACACGGCCTAATGAGTCTCAGTAAGTTTTTCAGAAAATTTGGAAGATGAATGCTCGAGGTCATTTCACATCTCTACGAGTTTACTGGGGGGAGGTATTTATTGATGTTAATTCGGGTGAGAAGTACCTATTCATGTATTGCTTTTCAATAGCAAAAATTTGGAAATTTCATACACTCGCAGGAATAATCAGATTTTCTTTTAATCATTTGTTCATCTATTTAATTTTGATGAATAACTTTTGAATTGCCCAAAAATTCTCATAAATTAAAAATTGAACATACAATTCCCAGCCTTTCTTCACGAAAATAAACAAATGAAACGTATCATTTGAAAAACGGCGTCTTCATTTTCAGAGGACCAAAATGACTCGAGCTGTCAGTTTGGCAACATAAGGGTTGTGCGAGCCACACTGGCTCCAGTTCTCACGCTGAAATTAAATTACATTGTTTACACGACTTCCTCGCCGGCCTAGTTCTGGTTAGGCCACCCGGATTCATCCCGCGTTGTCATTTTGCGCTTTTCGCGGATTTTTTTCTTTTTTCCCACGTCCAGCTGAACTAAGCTCTTTGAGCATCACAGTACAAAACAAGCGGGAAAGCTCTAATACGTTCGTATTACAGAAACGCTTAGCTGTCTTTTATGTAGGCGCGATTTCAAGTTCCCCGAGGAAAATGAGCGACGTTGAGAGAAAGAACTCGCCTCACCAAAATTTCAACCATCAATTTTAAGAAAAATGCACTACCGTTAAAAATATAAATTACAGAAAAATGATTATCATCTTCCGCTCTTTGATATCATATAAGCATTAAATACAGGTATGACAGATAAATCTATTCTAAATATATGAGGTCCCTATCCGCCTTTTTGTTGTTGAGCCGGTGCGCCATTTGAACGCATTTGCCACTGAGTATACTAGAATTCTATTGACAGGAAATCAAAAATCACTCCCTATCGGTTGAGCGCTTAAAAGGCATTTTTTATTTTTGTTCTCGAGTCCATTTCATCGTTAATCATTCCTTGGACCAAAGATACTTTTAAAGAGGAATGCAAGAGAGTTTCATCAGAGAAAGTTACATATTAAAGATAGATTTGACGTCTCAGCTGCTCAAGGTATTCCTCTCTCGGTGAAATGTAAGAGATTTTTTTGCACTTTTAAACACCATCAGCAAAAAATCAAGAGACAGTGGGGCACCAGCTCATTTTTATGAATGTCATCAAAAATTACTCTCTGTCACATTCGTTCGACAAAAATGTTAACATCTCGGCATCTCATAAAGCACAGAACTATTTCCAAACCGTGATGCTGCTTTCTTGTGGACTTTAAATTAAGTCGACAAGTAAATATAAGTGAATCATCAAAATTCAATGAAATTATAGAATGCCGTGGATTAATATTTTCTGTGAAACAATGAGAAACTCGAGAGTCCATAAATTGCAAAACCCACAATCTCACCATTGACATCTTATGGCGATTGTTTTATTTACTTGCTCTGAAACTTTAAAATTCCTTGGGCGTTCCTACAGTTTAAGAAAAGCTCTCTGGTTCGGTCCACTATGCGTCACAAGATCGTGTTTTGATTATTGAAATGCTTAAGATAATTCTTCAAGAAACGTGATCTACCAAGTTATGCAAAGGACATCTAAAAATATATTCGACTCAGAAACTCAGATAGAAAAATAGGTGGAACCTGGAATCCACTACATACATTTGCGAGAATATGAATTCTCTTTTCTCCGGGTGCGTGCTTAATACAATATGATTTTTCATACTCTGATCAGTGTTCGAAACTCACCTTTGAGTTTTAGGAGTCATGTGGCGCATCAAGCCCGATTTTTAGGCGCCATTGAAGATTTTTTAGGGGCCAAATTGACTTTTTGCCTATATATTACGGCGCATTTAGTGAAAAGTTATACGCAAGATGTTTTCGTAACAGAACTAGTAAGTAGCTGTAACTTGGAGACGACAAAAACACTAAGGATGAAATCGTGAAGAATAGAAAAATCTTTCACTTGTGGTGCTGAAAATTTCGAATAATCACCTAGTATGAAAATTCAGATTTATAAGGGGCAATTTTTAGGGGCCACGTTGGCGCAGAGCCTTCATTTTTTAGGCACCATGACCGATATTTTAGGCGCATCTGGCGCGTTGGTGCTTGTGAGTTTCGAACACTGACTCTGATGTGAATTTTGAATCATTTTGACGGTTTTGCTTTATTTTTTATTTTTACAGGACTACTATCCGGATCTGATAACCAATGACTCAATCGCCTTTTTACGACACTCAAAGAGGCAATACTCTCGGAAGCCAGTCATGCTGGTCATGAGCTTCCCTTCGCCGCATGGGCCCGAGGATGCAGCCCCGCAATACGCCGATATGTTCTTCAATGTCACGTCACACCAGTGAGTCACTCTCTAAATTTGATCTCTATCACTCCTTTTCACCTAATTTTGTACCCTTCGTATTGCCTGTGGGAATTCAATGTTTCACGCTAGTATTGGTATACACTGGTAAACATTTTTGAGTGAAATTTTGTGCCGGAGTCTTTGTAGCGCCCAAAAATCCCGAGTGATATGAATGCCGAGCAGAATCTAATCTCCTTGCGGAATTCCTTACACTATTACAGAGCAGAATCTACTCTTTTTGCTGATTGTGAGTAACGTACGCTTTCATGGTGCTGTTTCACTTTCCATTTATATTTCTCGAAGTTTTTCGGCGCTTTATAGACTCTGGCACCGAATTCCGTTCCTCGATTTTTAACAGTGTACCAACATTTTCTCGAACCTCGAGGCCTTTTTCCAGCCTTGATTAACGGCAGTGAAAGCGCGCAATTCACACGGTTTTTTCATCCAACTTTTTTTGCTTGAATGGATTTTTTCTATTTAAGTTCGATAGTAAGAATTTTCATCCATTAAAGTTGGAAAGAAAGTTGAATGAAGAGTTGAACCGAGTGATTCGGGTTTAATGCTCCTAGCTACTTTATCGACTTTATCGACTTTATCGACAATTTTTAAATAAAATTTTCAAAAACCTTATCATCAATACGACTTTTCAAGTCGAGAGCTTTTCATGAGCTTTGGAGTTCATTTTGGACGAAAACCAGCGGCTACGTCGCTTTATGTTTCTCATCAGATAGTACGCGTGCGTAGGTGACTAACAGAAATTAACCTCCCACTCCTTGTCGAAAATTTGGGTGCGTAAGGAATTACTATTTTATAGGCTACTATAACTATGAGGAAGAAATAATAGCAAGCTGAACGGTCGTTTTAAAGCGCTGAAAACTCATTTAGAAGACCCATCCGCTGCGTATAAACACGATGATGCATTTGGCACGTATCGTTTTGACAGAATACCCTTGGACAAAATTGGCCTCGTGATCTACCGGAAATACATATCGGCACTCGATGCAATTCGTTAAATGATAAAAGAAATGAAGTATTATTTTCCTACTTTCCTTCTCATAAGAGAACGAATAATGCTTGGGCAAACAGGCGAAACCTCTAAGGTCAGTTCGCTCTGAAAGTTGTTATCCCTATTTTTTTATCATGTCGTTTATTAGAACCTATACCTCAACCAGTTAATGTACACAAGAGGATAGAACAGATTGAACTTACACTCTTCGCACTAAAATCAAGCAGACGTCAGTGATTTGAGCACTTTGGTTTGCGATGTTCATCACGTCGAAGTCACAACACCACCGTGGGAAAGGTAAATTTGATTTCCATACCAATCGATTATTGATGAGTCACTTTTTGTGATCTCTTACTCTAATTAATCTATCTAATATTCATAATTTACGAATTTAAGAGTGAATGTTTCAAGTTCAAAATTTATAAGTAAACGCGCCGATCAACCGCAGTGAAATTTGCCGATGTCGAAGGAATTTGCCAGGACATCATTTGGTGGGGCCTGCGCGAAATGCATGAAACAGAATTTGCTTGCGGTTCGATTCCCAACTTCCTGTCCCAGGCCTATCACTTTTACCGCTTTCCCTGATTTATCGAAAAAATAGCCATCGACCAATATCTTTCTGCAGACGCAGACTTTACTTCCTCTGCGCGTTTCCTTTTCCAGCTTGTTTTCAGCAGTTGAAGAAAGGGGCCCAGGGGGGCTTAAACTCCTTCGAGTTCTATAGATTTTTTCCGATAATGGCCATTTGCCACAGTTTTTAAACATTTTTAACTTCCGAACCTATTTTCTTCCCGCCTATGAAAAATATTTGGTCCTGCCACAAATGACGCAACGCATAGCGATGATAATAAACTGCAAATCCTAATATTGATTTGCTTTAGGGAGTTAATTTTTTAGGCAGACCCTACGTTCCCAGGTTATTTTGCCATCCTTCCCTATTTTTACAAGTATAATAACATCAAGTTAATGAAATTTGAAGCTTGGGGATCAAACTATGGGTATCATTTTTATAATTGTATAAAATTCTAATGTATTGCTGTGAAGTTAATAAGGAGTAACCTCAGAATGAGATGGAATTGTCATTTGTCTCCCTCAACCCCAAGACTTCAATTTCATAAAATCATAGAAAAACTGTGGGCCTCCTTCGTACGAGTAATTTCGGTACAACTTGTGCTGAGGTATCATAAAAAATGTTTTCGTCCTCCAAAGAAAACTTGCGGTGAGAAATGCAATCAATTAAAAACCCCATCAATAACTAACAGCGTGAGTCAGTGAGCAAATGCGATTGTTTGAGATAATCATTTGATGAAGGGTGAAGAGGGAGGACGCCCTCATAAGAAATGCCTTCATTGTGAGAAGATACTTCCTAGCATGACCTCAGAGGCCGAATAGTTGCATCCCATAAAAACCCTACCAACAGTGTACTGCGCGTTGATTAGAGAGAACTACGTTTGCTGAAGATAATTATTTGATGATGATGGGTGCGGACGCATAAGAAACGCCTTCATTGTGAGAAGACACTTCCAAGCGTGACTTCAGAGGCCGATTAGTTGCGTCATTTTAAAAACCCAATCAAGAGTTTAGCAGCGTAGATAAGTGAATGATGCAGTCGCAGGCAGAGGATTATCGCTCCGCACAATGAAATGAACAATGATTGGACGTATTCGTGCTAAAAGGAACTATGTGCACAGGGTTTGCGCGTAACATACTTCCTTTTAGCATAAATGCGTATAATTGAGAATGCGAATACTCGGTTTATACCTTGATCTCCAGCGGAATGAATAGGGTTTTAGGTTTCGGAAATAAATTTTACGATGTTTACTACCGTATGTTCCTGAAAAGATCGCATTTCTGGCTGGAAGAGAATAGACCGACGTTCCTGATACGACTTCGTTCATTTTATTTTCGGAGTCAAAAATCCCTCGAAAACGTGTTTTATCCATACGATCCGAGTCGTCCAATCATTTTGAAATGTGTTCCGCTCCTGAACAGAGCCCTCGGCACACAGTTGAAACGATGGGCAAATTTAGAGGCTCTGAGGTTTCCCCGACCCGAGAAAATGTGTATAACTATACTCATAAATGATATGAACTTCGAAGTTCCTGACTGAGTCCAAGGATGTAATAAAAACAATTGACAATGGATTCAAATATCAATTACGTTACGTTTTTAAAGAACAAATTAACAATATTAATATTATGTGTGGTTCTACCTTTTTGTTTTACAGTATGGCTGTACTAAATTTTGCGAGCTCGTAAAATGTATAAAAAGACATTTCCTTGGGTGAAAAACTACCCTTTCACCATGATTTTATCTCCAGTCCCAAATAAAAAAATAATTAATACTTAACGTGCGGGTAAAAGACGTTTCTATAAATCGGCTACTTTTAAAATAAGAAACTAAAATTTCTGGCTCAGTTTAGAAACAACGTATGCATCATTATTTTCCCTGAGCTTTTAAGTGTTTTTTTACGAATAAGCCCAAAATTGCAGTTCCTAACTGCAAAATATAGTCCAGATCTTGCCGCTTCTTTTATTTATTCATCACTGGAAAAAAAAACACATTGGATCTGGAGTCCAGACTCTTAAAAACACCGACAAGAAAAAATACTCTTGATTCAATTAGATTTAAGCTTAAATCAAGAACCAAACCTCTTAATTTGAGTGGATTTCCTTTTGATTTAAGCTTCAATCTGATTAAATCAAGAGTCCTTTTTTTTGTCAATGTTTTCAAGAGTCTCGACTCTAGATCCAATGTGTTTTTTTTTCCAGTGATTTTTTTTTTAATTTTTTTTTTTTTTTTCGCAAGTCTCTATGATACACCCTTCAAAATACGTAAGGATCCTCTGCCAATACGGAACTTTCAACAAACCTCTCCCATCTCCAACCGAATGCATCCCACCGTTATCCCGATTCGCGTTGCCCAAGCGCCACTGTGTGGGCCTTTCCTGCAGAGATACGCACGTAGGCTTTTTAGGCTTTTATTCGAGGCTTTTGTCGATGTTCCGGCACACCTCCGGAATTTCAAACAGCCCCCGTACATCTGGATTGTGCCCGGTATCATTTTTATTTTTACTTTTACCGAAAAAAGCGCGGCGCATCAGCGGGTGCAGCGAGCGTGCCCGTGCGTGCAGGCCATGCTAAACGCGAAAGGGTGAAAATGAAAGGGAGCCGCGGGGACGAGGGGAGCGCGTTTGAGTGACGGGCAACCCGGCACATTCCGCGCATTCTGATCGCTTGTTTTTCCGCGTCCACCCGCGTTGCCGGGTCTCTCAACTTCGCGCTGTGAAAGTTGAAAATTCCGTTTTTATTTTTTGGACGTAGTTCGTCAGGAGAAAAAATTACGACAGCCATAGCCAGTAGCATAAAGCTTCCATTCCATGTCCGTCAAAAGTACCGGGATTCGGAACTTTTTTGTTGTACACGGAGAAAAAAACTTCGTGCGTGGGACCCGAAGTTTAGGTCTTATGGATCTCTGAAGTTTTCGGATTGAGCATCTGAACACTTTAGGTTCACCTGCTGAGGTTTGGATCACACATCTGAAACTTCAGTTCAGCTGAAGTACTTCAGTTTTCGCATCCGAAAAACTTTGGCTCTCACATCTGAAAAACTTCGGTTCTCACATCTGAAGTTCTTCAGATGTAAGAACTGAAGTTTCGGATGTGTGATCCGAACCTCGACAGCTAGACCTAAAGTGTTCAAATGCTCAATCCGAAAACTTCAGAGATCCATATGACCTAAACTTCGGGTCCCACGCACGAGGTTTTTTTCTCCGTGTAACACCCGCTCCATGACCGTCAAATATTCCGGGATTCCTCTTAGATTTTTTCAAAAGTTCTAAGAAAGTTCCGAAAAATTTAAAAGATCCGAAACGTTTTGGGAGTTCCAAAAGTTCAGGGAAAAATCCAGGAAAAGCTCAAAAGTTCCGGAATTTGGAACTAGTTCCGGGAAATGAGAGCTTTGCGTAGCAGAACAAGAGGAGGCGCCTCAGT